CAGCAGAGCATAAGCGAGAGTGCAGTTGATCAAGCGTACTCACCTGATAAGCAATAAGCATCAGCACTGTTCTTGCAAACAAGTTCGTTGAGCAGTCTTGGAAAATAGTCTTCTGGTAGTTGACGCCATGTCCAGCATGCACCGCACAACGTCAACATATCCGATTCATCGGATTCAGATTCGCCTCGCTCGATACAACTGATTACGAAGCGATTACCTTGAAATGAATGGAAAGATTTCCGATACAGAACCTATGAAACGTTCCTTAATGGAACTCACCAACAGAAAACCTGTCTTGAGAAGTTATCCGCAAAATGAAACGTTTTCAGGAGAATCAAAAAAATTACTCAAAATGAATTCAGAAGCACTGTTATAAATAGACTAAATCATTCCACATAAACATGCGTACAACAGGATTGAGCGCCAAACAAATTTTCCAGCTGTACTTTTAAGATGTCAAAGCAGGAAAATTAAGACGTCATAATTGTGGGATGCTTGAATAGGCATTGCTACATTGCTCGTTTTCAAACAAAAAACAACTTTCGACCGTTCGAAAGCGATTGCTATGATGCATGCTGTCATTATCGTGCCTGAGTCAGGCTGCTAGCTGGCTTGCATTCATATTTGATCAGAAATTTTGATAATAATTGAAACTGAAGATAATTACGAACCTATGATTCGATCACCTGCTGATTGACGCTTTGATCTGTCCTCATTTGCCTGCAAAATATTGTTGCTATGCTCGGATTTTTCGAATTTCATTTGAGTGAATAATACTTATTGGATTTTAGTCAATGTTTTCAAGCAACATTGAGTTCAAAATCAAGGAGCAATATTATTCTTCTTGAATGATTGAATGAAATAGGACCGAATGTGACAGAAACAATGATATGAGGTGATATTTAACGATGAAATGAAAAGAAAATGACGATGTTGTGGTACTCGTTTAGCTCGTTGTTGTGGATAGAAAACAGTTGGTGAAGTGATATACGAGGACTGGTAGCTAGGTAGCTGAATGGTCTTGATGAACTGCATTGGGATAGTATCAGCTGGTTGTTGGGGCTGAACATAACCATTACTTAAACTGTACGCATCAAATGATGGTCCCTGAAATTCGATTGTTGATCGCTGCAT